CACATTAAGTTATCATTAGCCACATACAAGTTGTATTCCTCATCATGTAGGTATATTCTGTTTTATAGTGGATATTATTTTCTCACATCATGCATTTTGCTATAGAATGTAATTTTAGATTTTAAGTAGTTACTGTGGCTAATAGAATATAAATCAGATTAACAACTACAAATTTCAGTTAGCCTAATAAAATCAACCACGACTGAAAACAGTTGATGACATGTTCAAATGTTGATTTTTAATGTTTTTTTGGACTAAAATGGCCAAGTCGACCAATAGTTGACAAAATGAAAAGCAAATAAACATGCATATATGTCTCTATTATGATTTGTCTTTTAACAACTTTGAACAAAACAATCCAGGTATGTCAAAGAAGTGTTGAATGGATGGACTCAAAAACACAAGTCCCTTTTATGAACTACTTCCAACATGGTCTGAATACTTTATGTATAAAAGTCATCAATGAAACTAGTTTCTGTCCAATGGTTACATAATATACAATTGTTTGGATGGAAATTGCAAATTTTAACCACCCAGTGTTGATATCTATTGCCTAAATTACTGCAATTAAAACTACTTGCCTGTCTTCATCAATAATCAACGATGAGAATGGGTCTTCTTCACAAATAAGATCTGGTGTCCCTTGTCTTGCTAACTCTGGTACATTCTGAACATACTTTGATACTTCTGATTCATCATGTGTTTGGTGATCTTCTAGCATGTCTAGATGGTAATTTCCAGTGTTGGTTACCAGAAGTCCATATTCGTTTTCATCAATTGCCATGGAAACGCATTTTTCACCACTTAACATCAAAGCTTGGTTCCCATTTTCAGACTTCTCTCTGCCAGCATTCCACATTTGGAGATTTTTCGTAGATAACAAGTGTGGTGCATAAACTGAACCATGCTTTTGAATCATTTGACCTGGTCGCGTTTTAGGCCTGTATAAAAACAATAAGTCTTCAAGCAAATTGCAACGAGTATGCTCTTCTTTATGTACGAAAGCGAGATAATAATAAAACAAGAACAAATTCTGTGCCACACATATGCTTAGGTAAAGGTGTGTAAATGGTTATTTCATAAAAGAAAACAGTACTGCAACTCATTGATAATGGCAACAAATCTAGATATAGTAAAAGGCTTAAAGGTGTCGTCGTTATAAAAGTGTTATAAATATACATTTTTATAAATCAAAATAGATGTTAGAATTCAAATTGACCAATCTGTACATGGCACTTGGACATCAAGGTTAGTTCTAGTTGATATATGATAAGATAGTTCAACATTACCCAATCAGCAAGGCCATCATTTTGAATAAGTGGGCAGTCACATTTGCTATGTCATGTAAAAGCTTGTGTGTATATTATGGGCGTAGACATTGTTTAGCTCTTGAGCCAATCCCTATTTGAATCTCAATGAAAGCTGATGAACGGCTTTAACAGTTTTATTAATATGTTTATAGTTATAAGCAAATCCCTAGCTTTGTGCCTGTCACTATATAGAAAGGGGTTTAGATTTATAAAACAAAAACTTACTTGTAAGTTTTCTTTTTGTTTTTCTGGAGTACCTCATATTTTGCACCATACTCTGTGATGAAATCATTTTTCAGTTGTACAAGATCTAAATCTTCTACTTGGTTGGCACTACCTGCTAAAGAGTTTGACATGGTAACTACATGCACCGGTATATACAAGTACTACCAGTAACAAGCTACTTGTAGGGTATGTTAAACTTGGATAATATAAGTAAATGCTAGAGATTTAATATCTATAATTTTATATCTTTAATATAATTTCTTTATTGGAGTTGAAAATCGGTGAATATACCTTTCTTTCCTGTCTTGTATCATATAACATATACGTAAAAATATTGTAACCGAGTTTTCAAACACCTGCAGTTGCACTGATTACTATTAACCCAATAACCAATACCAGAATAATCATAACAGATAGTATGCAAGTACTAAAACAGACCCAAGCTCCCATCATTCTACATTTCACCATCAGACAATTAACATGCTGTAAACCACCTAAATTTACAAGACTGATTTTGTTAAAAACAGAATTTGCATTTACGGCCTGGGAGCTAATAATAATAACCCTAAACACAGTAACACGAGCTATTAGCGTAGCTATGCTATTCAAATCTCTTTAAAATGATATGAATGGAGAGTGATAATTAGCTTTTCTGGATCTTGATTTGGGTATGTGATAGGTGAGTGGCATGATCACTCGCTTTAGAAAGTAAGGTCTGTGAAAACTATGTTTATGTTTAAATATACCTTGCTTCTGGTCCAGATACTTGATTGCTGATTCTAAGTAGTGAACATACTGAATTGTTCCATGCAATACCATTTCCTATTTAAAAAAAAAAATTTCCTTTGAAGTTTACATGTTATTTATATTTACTTATTACAAAAAACTTGAACGAGGCTCCTATCAAGTCACTCATAATGAGTTTTGCTTGGCCAAGTGTTTAGGCCTGTCAGTGGGACTTCCTCATACTTCACACAAGACTAAGAGGGAAATCCCCACTAAACAGCCTTGAATACATTTTTGATTTGTAAAAGACCAAATACCAGGGTATTTTTATAATAATAATAATATCTTGATTGCACGCTTTGAAATACTTTTTTCTATTGATTAAACAAGTACTTTATATAATTTGAGAATTGAAAGAATGCAGATATTGCGGGCAGATACAGTATAAATGATTAACTACTAGTATATTTGCTAAATTCTTCACAACTGAAAAGAAAAGAAATGATAAATAAATATTTCCCCCACAAGATATAGTAACAATCACCTTTGAAAGTGGCTTTTTACTCTTAATAGGTTGAGTTCCAGATTCAGGAAGTCTTTCCCTAAGCTTGTGATAGCACAGTGCCAAGTTCGCTCGACATTTAGCATCACTCTCTCTTCGCTTCTGTATACGAACTCTCTCCGCATGTAACGCCTTGGCCGAGTTCTCAATACGTGGTCTCGGTTTTATTCCAACTTTGTTGTGCACCTCGCCCTTCCTAAAATGTGCCTGGAACATCTTGCTATAAAAAAAATTATGTCACAAGAAAACAGGTTTACATGAACTGAAACAATACACACTTTCTATGAAAGCAAATGCGAAACGCGTAAATACAAGGGTGCGTCAGCGTTTGGCCGTGGTTTTGTGAAGAGCAGACGCCATTCAAAACAAACCCCGCCATAAACGACTCGCTCGACGATTGAAGGTCTACACAGGAAGCTGAATTTTAAGTGAAAAACATACCTGCCGTGGCTCTCTAAAGTAACTATGTACTTTCTGCAAGTTGCAACAATGCTGACATCCAGCAAAATAAACCCTTTTCATAGAAATGTATCCGGAAAACCCGCAAAATTCACAACATCTCATGAAGGCGCCAACCAAGACTTTTAAAACATCGCGCACATAACTTCTGCTCATGCTCAGAACGTTTTATTTGAATGCAGACGTCATCAACGCTGAAACACTGTAATCTATCGGCGCAGGCGCAATGTAAACAACAAATATGTAGCAGAATTTTGTAGCAGTTTATAAAAACAGGACTGCGATTGGCTTCAAGAATGGCATCACTGTGTGGAGCAAGGTGTTTTTCAAGAAGCAAACGTGCGTGGTATGGATTGATGTGTTTTCAGTTGCGGGTTCGCAGTTTTCAGTAATCCTGAGAGTAATCTAAGGATGTAAATTGCTATATGGTATACAGATCGCGCTCACAACCTGTTCCGGGTTTTGAATAAATAATAAAAGTTGTTTTATTTATATGTACACTGGGGTAGCTTGGGTTTAAGGTTCCATTACAAATAATAATATGTTTCTCAGATAAAAACTTTATATATATATTTTTGTCATCTGCGAAAATTTCCAGGGACAACTCAAAGTAAGTATGTTTAATTGAAAGACGGTGGTCATATCGCCACACAGCTGCGACGTTTGTGTTGATAAACATTGATTTTCCACAATCCAATGCTCTTTTCTAATGGAAACCACGAGTACGTGTTTTGACCAAGGCACAATCGGCACAATGTGTCGCACAATGTACACTAAATACTGTGGCTGCCGCCCTCTATTGGCCGATTTGAAATGTTATTTCTTAGAATGTCAAGAGAGACTCGCGAAACAAACAGACCGAATAGCTTCACCTTCGCGGTGGTGTGTCCATTTCGCATAGAAAATTTGTTTGTTTCATGAGTTTTATGCATTTGCAGACTCCTTGTTGTGTTTGTTTTTTTTTTTATTGATAGTAATAATTATTTTACTCATTACTTATTTGATCTTTCTAAGTGACTTGCCCTATTGTATCCATGCGCTTTTTTTGCCGTTTGTTGATACATACTAGACATGAAAACTGTGTTACTGAAATGCTATGCGCCCTCCACCAATCAGATCGCCGGATTCACGATTTATATTCCCTGTATAAATTGAGAGAAGTTAGTTAGAACATGGCTTTGTCATCTGATATTGATTGACAGGAGATCGTCAAAAGAACACACATGATTGGTTAATCTAATCACAGTCCCTCTATAGAGGGACTGTGATCTAATGCAACATTTTATTATTGGAGGGCGCATAAAAACTGAAAAATACGTATAGGTTATAGAA